AAAAAAAAAAAAAGAATGTATGGATTCTGAATACAGTACTGGCAGAATTATTATTTTTTGCCTGAAGTACTAGCTTCAAATGCACTTCATTTTTCTTTTATGAATATGAATCTCAACCAAGAAAAGAACCACCATTCTTAGTTTCACACAAAAATCTCTTTAGTTATCTCAGGACTCAACTAAAAAAGGCAAAATGCAAATGTCTGACTTTTCCTCCATGACCCAGAATGTGATTCCCACCAATGTGGTGCAGCTTATGCTGTAAGTGGCTTAAATGTTACTCATGATGCTACAGACACCTTTTCAAGAAAATAAAGTTCTTAGAAGAAATGACCAATTGAAGCTTTCCAGGTAGAATTATCATCATTGTCTATGAATTTCTCAAGCACATGTGTCTACAGTGAAGCAATGGCATAAAAATACAGCAATAACTTTACCTTCATGAGTAAATTGAATGTTGCCTTTGGGTCAGATTTTGCCAGAATCACATTTCCTTCAACATCTTTGCTCTTTTCACTGCATTTCTTCAACAGAAAATATGACAAAAATTCCAGAGGTTTGTCCTGGAAAATCCATACACACACACACAAAATTCATATTTAAAGCATTCATTGGAAATATAGGTCAACAAAAGTGCAGTAGAAAAGACAACATATTTTTTGTAGAGTTTTCCACTTTCTACCTAATTAAAAGTCCAGAAAACAATGTAATGATTATTCAATTAGAGTCAGTAAATGGGACTTTCTAGTTAATTTCATATTCCAGTTACCATGTATGCTGTTGGTTCTCAACTGACTGTCACCATTTGGTTAGGATGCCAAGGTCTTATGGGAGGGCCTCAAGATCTTCGGAACCAAGGCCTCCGAGAGCCTCCGGTGTGTTAACATCCTGCCTGTTCCCATCGTGGGCTCCCCTGCCCCAGGCCACCTCCCTTTCCTGTAGCCTGGGACGGTCCTGGGCCAGGGGTGTGTTCTGTCCACCACCTCCCCTCGCTATGTCCTGACACGGGGACCGACTTTTCTGGGAGAGTCCCCAAGATTTGTTTCTGACGAAAATGCTTCATCAGGCTTCCCTCTCACTTGTCCCCGAGCAGATGATTGATTTGCTTATTTCTGTTCTTTCGTGTTCCCTTTCCCTTCCTCTCATCTAGCCTTTTGCCCTTCATCTTTTTACATCTGCTTTCACGCATTCTGTTTTTCTGTCATATTCTTGTTTTAACTATTGAATTATGTTTATGTGAAATATAAAGCCACTCACGTGTTTTTTAAAGAAGTCACTTCTGACTGAAATTAATCACAACACAGAAAACAATTCCCAAGGGAGTCAACTTTTAAATCGCCTAGATTTTCCCATTTGTCTATTTTGTGTACCTAATAGATCTTGGGCCCAGAATCTCTCAGTAGCAGTTTTTACATACTGATGTAGTTTTTCTGAGAGAATTGCGCCCTTGGATGGATATACAGATTAAAAAATAAATAAATAAATACAAACTAAAAATTTTACTTAAATGTTGGGGTTTTTGTAGTATGCTTTCTTTTAAAAAATATACGTACAGGATTTTCTTTTGAAAGCTCCGTCAGTCCGTCTGCCAGAGCTTGTGCAATCTCTTGGTTATTCAGAATGTTAGTCATACTCATGGTGTCAAACATGAACTGTCCTGTAAATGTAAGGCCATATGCCCTGTAATTAATTTATATGAGAGATGGGATCAAGAAGAAAACAGCTCAGTTCTCACAGTTGCTTTATAGTGGATAAAAACGCAAAGAATAAAAATAAAAATTATATATTATGTCATGAGGATTATCTACGATGATAAAATATAAAATGAACATTAAAAGTACCCACTCTTGCAAAGCTGATGTTGAATAAAATCTATAAAGTGGACAATAAGGAGAGAACACGTGAAAATGAACCTTATAAGTTTAAATTTTAGACTCTCAATCCCACCAAAGATTTCTTCACATTCCCCTTTATCTTTGTGCTCAAATACATAAATATTTTAATCCCATAGAAAATAACATACTAACATACATACAAAGATATCTTTTACATTTAAAAAATATTTTAGACAACATGCATTTATGTGAAAATAATTATCTTCAATTCTGCTTCTTATTACTTAACATATATCATCAAAAATACTTCTATCTTTAAAGAGCTAATCTTTCTACATTTCTGTCTAGTTTTTATATCTGGAAAACACCAGAAAAAATAATTTCTTCCTGTTTATAATTTAATAACTATTTTTAAATATTGGTTGAACACCTACTAAATGTGGTAGAATTAAAACCAAGAAGACAAATGCCTGTTTTGGAGGCATTTATGTAAAGATATATACTGACAACAGATACGTATTGACATAAAAAACCTGCATGCATACTTGTGTGTTACAGCTCTTGCGTAGACAGTAACTGTATACATTGATGTTAAGTAAGGAGGGATGGCTGGGGAGGGAAGAAAGAAAATAAGGCATAGATCTAATGACTTGATTTATAGGGTGTTTTATTTAGTAAATGGGAAGAGTTAGGGGAAGACTGAATAGGTAACGACAGAGGGAAAACTCATTTACTCATATGGTTAAAAAAAAGTATTTTAAAGAACGGACCGATTTAGGTGAAGATCCTGTTGACACAAGACATTGTTTCCAAAAGCCTCTACGGTGATCATTTGATCATGGATAATGGAGCATATGCAAGAAATTCAATAATGTCCAATAGGCTCAGCAGAGGACCGTGGAATCCGTCACCCAACTGTGCACTTTAGGTGAAAGTACATAGAGCACAGCTGCAGAACAGTCTGAGTCGTGGGTGCTGTGGTGTAAGAGGGGCTCGGCTTTGAGAGCCAAGTGCGCTGGGAAAAGTTCTCTGGCCGAGCAAGCACTCGGGGGGTTTTGTCTAAATAACCTACTGACGCAGGATTCCTAAGATGGCAAAACCTGAAACCAGGAACTAGCTTCGGCATTTTGAAGATGAATATAACTATTTATATTTAATACTTATTAAGTACTACTTCATATTCATTAAGTACTATCTAATATTTATCTTTGTGCATATTCATTACATTGGAAAGGAGAAATGAAAAACCAAGGGAATAAAATAGTGCTGAAGATGTTTAGGAGCCAACCGACCATCTGCGACAGAAGCAGCGAGAGGCCTTACCTGCCATCCTGCCACTGATGTTCTTCGGCAGCTCCTGGAGGAGAGGCCTGAGCTGCTTCCTCACCGACGTCAAGGCGTCTTCCAGCAGGTCCGCGAGGCTGCACCAGGCCAGCAGCTTTGGCTCGAGGAAGTAGATGGAGGGGGGGCCCCTCTCCTGCTGCTGTCCCAGCCAGTCGCTGAGAACTGACATCATTTTCTCCTCTTATTAGTGCAGACATGAGCTCAGGTGAAACAATTCTACTTCTTGTTTATAGCTGTATTTATAACAGCCTTATTCTCCTTTCTCACTAGAAGACTATGATAAACACCCACGGTCTGCTTTCAAAGGTAAAATTAGAAACTCAGAAAGAATACAGTGAATAATAGCAAACGCCCATCTACTCTTTAGTAGATAAGGCTGACATTATACTTGAAATGAAAAGTTAAATAGCTGCTGGATTTGTGCCTCTGGGAGCAGAGTAGGCATCTAGGTAAGAATACACGGTTTTATGTTTCTGTCCTCAAAATGAAACCCAAGGAAACCCAGTCTGCCCAGTTTCCCATCGTGCCACCCAAAGTCACCCCTGTCGTAGCCAACCCCGGGCCTTTCTTCGTCACGTCCAGCTGCTTGCTCGCTCTCCACAACCTCTCTACATGACTAGTGGGTGCTCGGGCAAGTTTCTCTCCTTGCAAATCCATTACTGAAGGACACAGGGCCGTGTTAAATTGGACTTTCTGTCCTGAATAGATTTACTTGACCCTCCCACCCCCCGTGTTTATTGTGAAATCTTTGTAATTGTTCTTCTAGACAGAGAATAAGAAGAGTGGGGGGAGGAGGGTGAACAGAGGAAGAAGAGACGGAGGAGAAAAGAAAACTCGTTCTATAAACAAGTGTCCACCCCCTGCTCTGCTCTGCTCTGCTCTGCTCTGCTCTGCTCTGCTCTGCTCTGCTCTGCTCTGCTCGGTGGATTCTTCTCTCCACAGGGCCAAACATGTTATCATAATATAAACTACAATTAACAAATAACTTCTGTTACAGAACAAAATTAAGTCAATGTGCTTTTCGTTTTATCATTTCCAGTACAAGTTCCCCAATTGTGCCAGTTTTCCCATCTTCAAAGGCCGCTGACATTGGGGATCAGGGAGCCAGTGCTGTATATAGTTTCTGCATCACCCCAAACCTTCGTAGGTAAGAGGTGGGAGTTTTAAAGAAGAGAATGCTGAGGGCGACTGTAGCAGAGCAACTTGGTTCCCTTGCTGGTCAGCCAGCGTTACGCGTTTCGATCCAGGATCTTCAGTCTTCGTCTCTAAAGGAAACTTTGCTTTCAGGTGTGTTACATCATTGACTGCTTGTCCTCTCCGATCATGTTGCTGAAATGGAACCTGAGCAAGCCTCTTACTCATCTCTCTATTCATCTTTCCAGATGAAACCATATTAATTACATTTACTAAAAATTATTCTTTGTACTTATTATTTCTCTAGATCAGCAACTAAACATGTTTGTTTAACGGTTAAAGATCATGTTTTCAACTGAGTTTTACAAACGATGGCTTGAAGCAAATATTTACAAAAACTAATCCCCTTCTAAGCGAATGACTGAGTGATGGGAAAGGACACAGTTTCAGAGAAGGGATGAAAGACAGTAGCCGGCATGTGCCAGAACCACTATTATTTAGCTACACTTCGTCTTTTGGTGATCCCGGAGCTGGTCAGCCCCCAGATACACTTACTGTGTTGGTAAGAGCCAGTTGCGATCCCAGCAGGAGCAGTAAATAAAGTGCCGGTGAGTTGAGACAGCTGCGAAAGAACTTCTACACCCGCCTCTGCACAAAAATACTCGCATTAGCTTTCTCACAGGTGTTGCCGTGGAACAGGTATTACCGAGGAGCGGAATGAGCTGGCCAGGAAAGGCCACAGCAGGCCCCGTGCCCACTTCAGGCCCCTGGGGGAATAGTTTGTCAGCGCTTTCCAGTTCACCCCTAAGTGCTGAAGTCCAAACACTTCGTTTACGAGGACTGCACAACCGGGTGGGAAAGAGGGCATGAGGTCTGACCTGGTGCTTACTTTCAACCTCGAACACGCGGGCCAAAGACACAGGAAAGTCTGCTTGTGTTTTCTAAACTGGCCAGACTCCAGGGAGAAGTCTCATTGTAAAAGGATAGATTTAAAACTGATAAACACAGAATGGATACAATGGTCAAAATTTCTCGTGGCGTTAATTTCACTCCTTCAGCGACACCGTATAGATTGAAGCATATTCACTACCTTGATTGATTGTAGTTTCACAGGGTATTGCACATGTCAAAATGTATCCAATTGCACATTTAAATATGTGCAGTTTATTGTATGTCAGTTACACCTTAATAACGCTGTTTTAAAATTTTAATATAATGCCCCCAAAAGATGACTTTCAGGTTTTTGGCTTATGAACTAACTGGGTAAATGACGATATCTGAACTGAGGAATCCTGGGGAGGGGAGGTTCGGAGGCAATGGGGAGTTTGTTCTAGATGCGTTAACTCTGAGAGGCTATTAGAGATGCAAACTAAACATTCATATGAAGATGTTAGGTAGGAGCTAGAGCGGAGTCTGCAGCTCAGAGATACCAGAGCTGGAGCATAGGTTTGGGAGTGTCCGGCATCAGACTGAATTTCGAGCCTTAGGAGTGGATGAGATTGCCCAGGCGGCAGGCGTAGGCATGGGGACGGAGAGCCCAGGGCGGAGCCGGGCACACTTCAAGGCCTTGGCGAGGAGGAGCAGCCAGCGCAGGAGGAGAAGCCGGCGCCACTGCGGTCGGAGGGAAACACGGAGAGCGTGGTACTGGGGAAAGCAAGAGGAGGAGAGCTTCGAGGAGTGTCCATCTGCATCAAGTGCTGCTGAGAAGTCAAAGCAAAGTGAGGACGGAGAAGGGACCCCTGGATTTGGGCACATGGAAGTCACTTATTTCCTTTCTAAAGCAATTTCAGTAGAGAGAAAGAGACGCGTGTAGGAGCACGAGGAGTGAATGGCAGGTGAGGAAGGTAGAGGCAGAGATCAGTGGTTCTCAAAGTGTGGCCCTCTCAGCAGCAGCAGCGTCACCTGGGACGTGTTAGAAATGAGAATCCTCAGGCCCCAGGCCAGACCCACTGAATCAGGCACTCTAGGGTGGGGCCCAGCGATGTGTATTTTAACAAGACCTCTGGGTGATTCAAATACACACTAAAATTTGAGAACCACTGGTACAGTCACCTCAAAATGTAGAGAGGGAAAGTTTATGATCTCTTTCTTTTTTTTAAATCCTCACGGGAGAATATTTTTTCCATTGCTTTTCAAAAAGAGTAGAAGGGAGAGAGGGAGAGAGAGAAACATCGATGTGAGAGAGACACATGGATTGGTTATCCCCCGCATGCACCCCGATCGGGGCCAGGGATCGAGCCTGCAGCCGAGGTAAGTGCCCGTGGCCAAATCAAACCCAGGACCCTTTAGTCCGCGGGCCAACACTTTAACCACTGAACCAAACTGGCTAAGGCATAAGATCTCTCTTTCTCTCTTTCTCTCTTTCTCTTAGAACAGGAGCTACTACAGGTGTTCCTGATGTGATACGAATGATCCAATAACGACAGAGCACTGAGGCTACAGGAGAGGATTCAAGCGCAGGAGAGCTGAAGTCGGAGATGAAAGGCACTGGGATTCAGCGTCCAAGCGGAGTAGCTGAACTTTGACTTGAGCAGGGTGCTTCCTCCATCATCAACAGGAGGGGAGACAGAGAATGAAGGTAAGAGGTGGGGTAGGTGGTGGGTTTGGTGTTGGGAGGAAAACTGGGGAGTCTTCTTAGGGAAATCAAAGGTGAGTTCAGCAGCCAAGAGAGTGTTATTGGAAAGACTGACCAGGGAGGAGAAGGGGTAAAGTCGTCATCTCGAAGAGTGGAAACATGAATTTACCAAGGAAACGCGGTAGGATTGCTTATCAGCGCTGCAATCCCACGTGGTGTTTATGTCATTGAAGTTAGATCAATAAGAACAGTTGCATTACTTTTCCAACAGTCTTCAGCTGTCTTCGTGCAGGCAGGCATAGGTTTTGCCCATGGCTGTGTTCTCACCAGCACTGGGATTCAGCCAAGTGGGTGGGGACTTAGCCAGAAGAAAGACAAAGGAGCTCAGAGTCCTTGCAAGAGAGTAATGGTAATAATGAACCATTAAATCCAAGTTTAAGAGGGAAGAAACCAAGGACAAAGACATGGTCATAGAGAGTGAAAAAGTAGGAGTGTGGATTGGAGGTCTTCAGGCAAAGAATCGGTCCAGTGGGAACCCCGAGTACATGCTTTGGAAGTGGTTCTCAGACAAACGCTTGAAGTCCAGGACAGCAGAGGTGACGCGGCTCCTGGGGATGACAAAGCCCAAGAGGGATGCTTGAAGTGGTGGGAAAGAGACTCTGGACTGAGAAACCAGGCTTTTCTGACTCAACCAGGGTCGTGATGGGTCAGCCAGGGGGAAATGACATTTGACAAGAAGTCCAGGGATGGTTTTGAGGGCCCAGAATGGTGGTGGGAAATATAGCGTTTGAGTGCCATTAAGTTTCACTTGAGACAGTTTTTATGTCACCAAGTCCCTTGTGCTTCCCCCTTTTGCCTTACGGTCTTGCCTTTCACTGTTTTACTTCCCACATCCTTTCTTTTCTTTCTACTCCATAGAAAATTTGCTTTGTTCTCATTGTAAAAGGAAGTAATACCAATTTATTACAGAAAATAGAGGCAAGTAAGATAAAAGAAAATTTAAAAAATAAAAAGGAAATCTCACTCATCTTATCCAGCTATTGCTACACACCCTTTCTATGTGTGCACCACCCCTCCTCCCCGCCCAAACACAGGTGTAAACATGGGACCACAATATCCATATTCTCTGTCACATACTCTTTTAACCCTGATTTGAAAAGTCGAAAATTTGCAAAACACATCTAGAGATAGATTCTGTTAATAGTTTCTGTATTTCCTCATAGACTTTTCTATGCATGTGTTTGCATAGTTGAGATTATACAACGGTAGTAACTGTGAAATTTTTTCTACAGTAACTTGTATTTCATTTTCCTTTAAACCCCTTCCCATCTTTTTGTTTTTATCTTTCCCCTGGCTGAAGCTTGCCAATGAAATTTGAAAATTTAGGACTTTAAAACTCACAATTCTCTAAAGAAAGGGTAATAAGAAACAGTTTGAGAAAATTTAATATCACACTCCCTCTCCCCTGTTCTGCTTGGTAAACAAACCAACCAGCCCGGAGCCCCTGATTGCAGAGCAGCTATTTAACAGATAACCAAAGAGTGAACTTGATTTAATGTTTCTGAAATTTCCCTTCAAGCACTGAAATCAGCTTTGAATCATAGTGGCTGATACTAGCAGGCACTTAAAATTCTCTCAGCAGCCTCAGTGACCAAAGCACTTCACTGTTTCCAGTGTGCTAATGTTAAGGTTTATATTATTACTTATTTGTATAATTTAAGTTTTTATGTTATTTTGATATTCACAAGGTATATATCCTATAAGGTAAGGTACTATTATCCTAACATTTGTAGGAGGAAACGAAGGTTCACAAACTTGCCTAAGGCCACCCAAGCTGAAGTGGCACGAGTGGGATTCAAGTCCAGGTCCTTGGTCACCAAGTTCATGCTCACGCATTCCAGGTCCAGAACACAGCAGGGAAACTTTCTCAGATTGACCAACTCTGGTTCCTATGCTGGTCAGGCACTTCCCCTGCACTTTCCTATGCAGGCTGACTTGACTGTGTTTTCCAGAAGAAATAGAAATAATGTTCCTTGCTGGCTCTTGTCACCAGTAACTTTTAAAAAAAATTGATTTCAGAGAGAGGAAGGGAGAGGGAGACAGAACATCAATGATGAGAGAGTCATTGATCGGCTGCCTCCTGCACGGCCCCCTACTGGGGATGGAGCCAAAACCTGGGCCTGTGCCCTGACCGGGAATCCAACCGTGACCTCCTGGTTCACAGGTCAATGCTCAACCGCTGAGCCACGCCGGCCGGGCACTAGTGACTCTATTTCTACAGGAATGGGTTACTCTAACCACTAATCCCAATGCCCGTTTCCTCTAAATACCTGAGTATATGAGCTATAAAGCAAAAAGAAATAAAGAGCAACTGTGACAGAATCATTTGAACTGAGGATATGTCACAAATCCACAAAATACCATCACAAAGTAGGCGTGACCGCTACCTTTCAAAACTGACCTGATGCTCCAAGCGGTACAAAGAGGTCCACGTGACCCCCTTCTTCAGCGGTCACGTAGCTTCCTAATCTCGCCCAGAAGTCTCTCACTTCGGGCCTCAGTAAATTTTTAATACCAATTTTATAGCCTGAGGAAAAAAATCGGAAAGTCACATTACTTTGTAACACTATCATGAACAGAAACTTAGCAGTTTGTGCAAATGGAACCACGATTCAGAAAAAGCCAACATCTGCTCCTGAGACCAAGCTCTGTAGGGCACCCCGGCCTCAGTGCCGCGCCACGTCGCGGCCACCAAAGCCACCGCTGGACTCCACCACGGCCTCGGTGTCCTTCGCACCCTGGGTTTGCCGGCCGCTGTGCCTGTATTGAGGACTGCGTTTCCGTCTAGCGGTGAGTTACCAGGCCCACGACAGGGCTGAGGGCGGATGGCCTGTCGAGTCCTGGGATTTCACAGCCAAGCTCCAAAGCAGAAACGTTTCACAGCTGTCAGCCAGAGAGGCAATTGCCCGGGGCGGAAGCAGTGCTCGGGGGTGGCAGGCCTCAGGCTTCGCTGCAGCGCTTGTGCGGGGACAGTGGTGGCTCAGGTCGCCTGAGGGTGCCCGGCCAGGAGCCTCTGCACTCCGAAGCCCAGGACGCCGTGCACAGTGGGCACAGGAGCCCCGCTGGCTCACTCCCACCCCCAGACGCCCAGACACAGCGCAAGGTCCTCTTCGGGTGACTGGATAAAGATTTCACTCTGTTGTTTTTAAGGCAAAAGCTTTTGGGAAAACGCCACAATTACACAGAAGGAAACTTTACTTTCCTGAGGTAGTTTTGTTCTTGTTGCTATTGCTTTAATAAAAGGAAACTAAGAAAAGGAAGCGTCTGGAAGCCTTCCCCATCTGGAGAACAGAAAGCTGAGCCAGGGAACCCTCCCAGGCCCCTTTGCTCCATAGGAGGTGAACCAGCGACCCAGTATAGACTCGCGCTTGGTGCTCCACCGTTTGGAGAAGAGCCGCCGTGTACTTCGTCACACATTTAAACCCCAAATAGCAGCTGTGCTTTAGTTTTAGGGGATATAAGAGTGGAATGTGGAACACGACTTGCTTCAGGCGCAGGTAAACTGAACAAGAAGGGCCAAAAATAAGGCGGAGCTGAACCAGAAGCAGTTGGTTTTTGCTAATAATAGAATTCGCTGGAACTATTCCAAGGTGTTGAGCTCCAGCCGCAGAGAGGGCAGTTTGCTGGGTGACCCGGGTCCTCGCTTGGCCATCTTGTGAGCTCCCTGCCAGCTGACCCCGGCACCTATTCCCTCTCTTCCCTCGCCCCACAAAGAGGGAAGATTCCCAGTTAGTAAAACTTAAGGTAATTCCACTTTAGGTACAAGTAAGGAAGGATGCAGGTTACGGTTTGAGGAAAAACAGAAACTAAATGATTATTTCTAAACATTCATCATCTCCTTCCCCCCAAAAAGGGTAACCACTGAAATTTTTAAAACAAGTTAATGATACCAGCCAATCCTGTCCTTTGTGGGACAGCCATTTGGAAGCACAATGACTGCTGTTAGGGCACACCCATGTGGAGAGCCTATGGGCGTGACTACTTTGAAAAGGTAGACCGAGTAAAGCAGATTCCCTAACACGGGTGGGCCTCATTACATCAGTGGGCGGCCTGGACACTCCTGCCTGATTCCTCGGGCTGGGTTACCAACTTCTTAACGAACCGGAACTTCAGTAGTAGGCTCAAGGCCATGCACGTGGACAAAGACCACATCGGTGCAAAGAGGGTTCTTTCCCATCCCATCTTACCTTCGAGTAAATTGATTTCTCTGCTGTCTCCATCGCTAAATATTCCCACACTCTGTGCCTTCTGCCCATCCAGGGCCTTGTCTATGAGATACAGCAGGTTCTCCAAGGTTCCACCACTGTGCTCGTACACCACAGAAATGACGCCTGCCCTGACACTGTCCACCACCATCTGGAAAATAAAGCCGGAGCTGCAGAACCAAGGACCATTACTTTAGACTACTTATTAATATTATAGAAAGAGAAAGATAAGCTTTCTCCTTCACTAGAGTTTTTAAAAATTATTTTTTTCTAATTATAAGAGGAGAAAATGATATGCATTTGTAGTTCTGTCACTCAGAGATAAATTCTATTAACAAGTTAGGTGATTTTCTTCCACCCATACACAGTGACATATATACAACTTTTAAAAAATAATAAAATTGAGATAATTCAATTTCACAGTAGACTTCTTAAATAGGCTGAGTTTTCTTCTAAGTTATGAATTTTTAAATTATAAATATTGATAAATATTTCCCATTTAAATTGAAAACACTTCCTTGAATTCAACACCCAAATAAACTTTTCATTGCGATAAAGTTAACTGATTAGCAATAGATTAGAAAGTCATTGAAGTCATTGATTTTTTGAAAAACCTCATGCCACTTTCTGAAGGTCACTGTTGAACAGTACAGAGAACTGCCACATGGTTAAACCTATTTTTTACCAAACCCCCATTACATTAATAATCAAATAAGTAATTGTGACATAGTCTTATATAAAAAGACAAATAGGGGAACAGACTTACTTTTTATTTTTTTTATTTTGTTAACCCTTACCTGAGGATATTTTTTCCATTGATTTTTAGAGAAAGTCAAAGGGAGGGAGGGAGGAGAGAGCAAGAGAGAAAGAGAGAGAGAGAGAGAGAGAGAGAG